ACAACACTGAATTTACTGATAATACAACTTTTGGCGTAAAAAATTATTTAATTTCTTTACTCATATTGTTTACATATTGACAAAGTTCAAAGTATATGTGCTCCATGTAATGTTCCAGTTTGAACATAAAAAAAAAACACAATTAACGGCTTCATGTACAAACATGTACCAAGTTATGACAATTTGCATCGAAAATCGCTCTAAATTTATACGACGACAAACGATACATCGTACCGGACTCGACGGAGACATTACCGTGAGGGCATTGGTGAATACATCTATATTAAAAAATATATTTCTTTGAAAATTTCTCTAATTTTTTCATCATTCCTTCTTCATATCTTCGTGATATTAAATTACTTCATAAGAAAGCGCGTTCGACTGATCAACTTATACCATTAAAATATTATTAAAATTATGCTCATATCATTCTATTGTAAAATCATATTATAAAAGTTGTAAAATAAATATCATATCTTTTTTTTAATAAAATCGCGTGCGAGAGGATACATTTCAACAATTTGTGACTACAATACGCTAAAATTATATTGGTATATAACAATAAATGTAATGCATTAAAAGATTATGTGAAGTTAATGATGAAACTTCAATCTTGAAACGTAACTTTGAAATCTGCATATTCCTGTTTCTCCTTACCGCGAGTGGAAACGAGTCTTCTTTTTCTATAGTTATTTAGAATTAATAGTATGATAGCTGTTCAGTAGTACGATGTAGTACAATAAGTGTTCGATAGATACACAATAATAGTTTATAATGGTTTAATAATTAGGAACGCTCAGCTACTTGTATTACATTACTAAAAATATTATAATTAGTTGCCAAATTAAAATCATTGCTAAGTTATATCATTAAAAAATCGAAAAACATAAATACCATATGGATTTAATAAAATTGTGAGCAAGAAGAAAAGAGAACGCGGGAGAGAATATAATGGCAAGAAGAGAGAGCGCGAATACTATGATAAATATAGGACCATAATGGGTAAGAGAGAGAGTACGAATACTATGGCGAGTGTGTGTGTGTGTGTGTG